TCTCTTTCTCTTCTGTTTCCTGGTTTCTTGGAGAGCAAGCACCATATGTCTTGGCATCTATCCTACCCCATCTCTACTTGGCTGCCTGGTTTAGTCTCTTTTATCTCTCAAAAAGATATTGATAACGGTACACCCTACACAAATCCTGCCTCATTAACAAAATAAAGACAACCCATTCGCAAATGGGATTATAACCACAGGCAAAGAGGTTAAGATGTTACAGCACATATTTAGAAGGACACAGTTCAATTCATAACACCTCTGACACTATTGTTATTATTAATGCCGGGTCTTCTCCAGTGTCATGGCCGCCCCGTGTCTCACAAAGTTGAACTAGGCTCCATAGGGTTTTCAAGGCTGTAACTTTTCAGAAACAGATTGCCAGACCTTCCTTCTGAGGATCCTCTGAGAGGGTTCAAACTGTCAACCTTTGGGCTTGTAGTCAAGTACTTACAATGAATAAACATTTGCACCACCCAGGGACTCCTAACACTACAGATGATGATAAATTAAGATTTCAATAAAGCAAGTGCTAAAACATAATATAAAGGGGCCGATTGCAGCATCGATGGACTCAAGCGTGGCAACAGTAGTGAGGCTAGCCCAGGATCGGGCAGTGTTTCGTTCTGCTGTGCATAAGGTTACTATGGGTTGGTACCTACTCGATGGCACCTAACAACAACAACTTATAGAACACCAGAAGAATTTAAATGAAATACTGAAACTATTCAATTAACACAAAAGCTTCAGATCATCAGCCAAAACAAGGCCAGGGGCAGACTGTGGAACCAACCACCAATTGCTCATATGCAAATTTAGGCTGGAGCTGAAGAAAATTAAAACAAGTCCACAAGAGCCAAAAGTTGACCTTGAATATAACCCACCTGAATTTCACGATCATCTGAAGAACAGATTTGACACTGAAGACCGAAGACCAGAAGAGTTGTGGGATGGCATCAAGAACATCATACAGGAAGAAAGCAAAAGGTCATTAAGAAGACAAGAAAGAAGGAAAAGATGAAAATGAATGTCAGAAGAGACTGAAACTTGCTCTCGAGCGTAGAGATGCTGAAGCAAATGGAAGAAGTAAGGAGGTACAAGAGCTGAACAGGACATTGTCAACAAGGCTCAAAAAAAAAAAGAAAAAAAAAAAAGACAGCTGGGAAACAAATGGTTCCTGGAGGAGCGCTTAACAATACATACTTGTGGAGCTCCTGTAGCACAACTGGGAGAGAAGACAAGAATGGGGTAGAGGTGGGACATGCTGCCCAGAGAGTGGGGGCAGACTGCAGCAGCATACAGAGACTCAAGTTGGTGGAGTCTTGACAAGCGTTACCTGGCTGGGATGCAACCTCATGAAGGAGTTTCTGAGTTACTTCCATGGATAGAGGCCAATGAGCTGGATCCCCTCAAATGTCCAGTCCAGAAGCAGGAGGGTAAAGTGGTTGCAGCCATGGGGTGGGGGAAGGACAGGCGCACAGAACTAGCAGCATAGCTGTGGTGAATTATCTACTGTCTCTTCTAGTCTGTAACTCCCACCAAACAATATTTCTGCCCTGCTGGTTCTGAGTAAGAGAAGGCAGGAAAAGATGACATGATTCAGCAGTGGATGTTAGCAGAGTTCATTGTAATTATAAAAACTTGCACCTCTAGCATGGATATAAAATGATCTGCCTCAGAAGAAGGAAGGGGATCTTACTACTGTCAAGAAGGAGGATCCAGGAGTGGAGCACATCCTTTGGACCCCGAGATCGCTGCACACTGAACCTCCTCAACCCAGGGACAGAAAGCTGTGGCACCAGAAGAGGTGGCAGAGGAGAAGCAGCAGCAGCAGAACCAGGAACCAGACAATGAGACAGAGCAGAGGACTTCCCAGCCCATGGAGCAAGTAAAGCTGGGTGACTTTGGGCAGGAAGTTTGCTTGTAGAGTTGGTGTCTCCAGTCACTTTGGTGAGAGAGCTAGGTTTGTTGACCCTTGGAGCTAAATAAAGCCAAGTCACTTCAGACTGAGGAATATGGTGAGTGGTGTGTCCTGTGGGCATTTATCAGCAGCCAGCTGGAACAACTATACCCTGAGCATTTTCTAATCCTAAATTGTAACCTGCTAACCTGC